TCCAGGTTGCAAATCTAGGAGCTTCTTCACCTCTATAACAGTAGTAGTTCATATAAGCTTCATGATCATGTATGCATAAATTAAAACAGTATTTTAGATCAGCTATGCACAGAACCTAAATTTGACAAGGTTTAGGTAAGCTGTGCCAGCCTTTAGTCTTCTTCATGGAAAAAAAAATAAAATAATAATAATAATGCTAGCAAGCTCATTTAGCAGTCTCTACAGGCATTTAACAGAGGGAATACAAGTCTTTCATCACAGATACAAAGTCTTCACAAAGATATTACCCTACAAGGCATGATGTTCAGAGAAGAAGAGAACACTCTTCTGGACTTGAAGCTCAGGTGGGAGATGCAGAGGACAACATTATGCAGCTAAAATAAGATGTGGCCCTGCTATTTTATAAAGCAAATACACATGATATGACATTGGAAGATTTAGAATAAAAGATTTAGACACAATAACCTCTATATTCCTTTGTATTTGTTTGTATCCCTTAACTTGTGGAAGGTTCACACCCTGCTAAATTTATTGAAATCTGGCAACTCAACACATTTGGCAGTTAACTTTGGAGAGGACCCATAGAGTACAAGGTAGACCAGTCCCACTTAAGAACCTTCCAAGACCCTTCCTAATTCACTACTAAATTATAGGGAAAATTATATTATTCTGAGATTGGTCAGACTTAACTTTTAAAAGTGCAAAAGTTTCAGTCTGTCCTGATTTCTCCTCAGAAGTACAAAAGCAAAGAGTAAAGCTTCCGGATGACAAATGAAGAGTGAGAAATCTACACATTAACTACTCTATATTGTACTCCTCTCTACTTCAGATGGGGGAGCATTTTTTTTTATTCTGCTCCTGCTGCTTTTTCCTGCCTGAATAGTCAGGGACATGCTGCAACACACCCCTGATTAACATCAGCAATGCATTTACTTGCTAACACAACAGAGAGTAACAGTAACTCATCCTCTCATGCAGCACTAGGACATTGCATTGGATGACACATCTGACTTCTTTTTCCCCTGCACTGATTTCTCAGATTGCTCCTGCTTGGGAGATTTGTCCAAAGGCAAGGACATTCCTGAATAACTATTCACGTATTTTGAAAGTATAGAAGGGTTGACCCACACAAACACAATATAGGACACTCTTAAGTCTTTCTAAGTGGCCTTCCTAAGAGGGAGGTTGTTAGAATTAAATTCTCCTTGCAACGGTGGGAACTGGAGCTGATAGCAGTTAAAGAGCAAGTAAAAAAAGAATACATAAAGTCTATAAAAAATATCCATTAACATTAATTACTCAACTCCTGCACTTCAAGTGTATCGGGTGCCATCCCTCCATCATCTATATGATAAGCTATTATAGTTGTCATTATACAACCTGATAAAAAAAAAAAAATTACCCTTTTTATGAGTGATCACATACCCTCCGAGCTCCTTATGCAGCTGAGAACAGAGAGCTTGAGGAGGAGAAACAGCAGCACGCTAAAATTCCCAGTGAATGGCTGTGCTGGGGGCATGTTATGACAAGTTTGATCATTGAATGAGAGCACACTGAGTTCCCAGCACAGCTAGAGAACTGACCACACTATGCTCTCATACCTACTGTGGTTATATTTTAATAGGAACGCAGAAGGACTGGCAGGACCACTAGGTATTTCACACAAAGGAAGCAATACAAAGAGAACAAGATACTTTTTCATACAAGTACATGGTAAAGCAGGCATATATCAGGAATGTATGAAATGTTGGGTTTACATACTCTTTAAAGTCATATCCAAATTGGTATCTTGATACCAGTCTAGGTTTATCCCTCAAAGGTCTGCAAACAATGGGGTTGGGGCAAAAAATCATAAAATGGGTACAGCTTATATATTCTTCTCCTAGGGTCAGTATACTCATATCTCTTTCCAATCTGTTCACATTTGGGAGAGGTGCCAGGCAGGGCTGGGTTGGCCTCCCCCTTACTGTTTGCACTGGCAATTGAGCCTATTGCAGTAGTGAGGCAGCATCCACATATTATTACATTCACCAGACATGTTGCGTATGATAAAATTATATTACTTGCAGATGATGACCCTTTACTCCTAGGAGGCACTACTTACAACAGAAATAAATCCTCCTATTACCAGGTTCACTTCAACACCCATATCCCAGCTGTACACAGCAAATTTGGAATATGACCCTTTTTGATTCTTAGGTGTGATCCTTTCTGAAAATGCCCGTTTTTATATTTAACTTAGTGGACCTTGCTTCCTCTGACTATTGTCAGAAAGTCTCCTTTATATTAACCATAATACATCTACCTGTATCCCCGAGAAATGTTTCGACAAGAAAGCTATTTCATGAACTTATCTGGAATGGCAGACTTCTCTGAATTAACCTTGAAACACTATATCTTTCCTGGAAGGTAAATTCTGTTTAACATTTAGTCCTCATGCACACTTGACATTTTTACAGCTGCTGATTTTGGCTTTTCACATTTTTTTCTACAGCCAGTAAGCCCCACAGCATGTTATCTCATGTGTCCATGCACACATAGACTGTAATAATTTTTTTGGCTGGAAAAATCCCCCAGAAATAGTGGGTTTCTAGAGAAGTTTTTTAGCTGTAAAAATGCTCTAATGCTGAAAAACACTGAAAAACATGGCAAAACATGGTAAAACGCGTTAAAATGTGGCAAACCGGCGTTTTTGGACTTTTTTTGAACGAAAAAAAAATATTATTTTTGGTAAAAAAAAGTGGCCGCTAAACGCTGATGCAAAAATGTTTAAAAAAGCTAAAAAACTCACATTTTTAACGTGAGTTTACACAGCTAATGTTACCAGCGTTATCAAAACATAAAGTGTGCATGAGGGCTTAGAAAGTGAAACTTAAACACAAAGAGGTAGCCCTCACAAATTTGAGAAAATATGGTGTGGCCAACTTAACAACCCTACACTTGTACCACCTGCCGTAGTCATGACTTTATAGCTCACAGGGTAGCTAAAGGATTTGTACCTCCTAATACCCTATTTCTATTATTGGCACTATGTATGATTGGTAACATAATGATAACTCACACTAAATTCACTTTAGTACAATAATTTACACATCTTTAATGAATGCATTTCACATTTATAACTCTAGTGATCATCTTATGTATTTTACCGCATATTGCATTGCTGTGCTCTAGGACTTGTTTGATTGATTTGTTATAATATAGCTATAACAAAATGATCATAGACCACATCTCACCTTAGTCAAACCTTGTAAGGCACCTGTTATGTTTTGGTCTCTCTTGGTCTGTGTTGTTTTAATGTGTACCTCTTGTTCTTACGTTATTCTGTAGAATAAATTGTGACACAAAATTTAAGGACTTAAGGACTTCTGCTCAAATAAACATTTCCTTAAAGAAAGAACAAAAAACAGTGAACCAATCATGTGAGCAGGAAAATACACTACTGGAATCAATCTCTACAAATACAGGGCTGGAAAATCTCCCAGAGCTATAAGGAAGCAATGTCCTAATTTTCTGGCCGTTATAAAAGTAATGATTGCTGCATATTGAAATGCAAAGGTAATTTTAAAACCTGTAAATTACACAATATCCCAAGTAGCAATTATATGTTATATCAATTTTTCAAGAAAAGCCACACGTTCCTTTAAATGTATATATACATACATAATTGTTAAGAAAAAAAATGTATGCATTTGTAAAAATACTAAAAATTGCTATATGCATACTATAAAAAGTACAGCTTGTGAAATCTACCACATTAAATGTTTCCTCTCTATAATCCCCTGAACAAGCTAGGATATTAGAATGGAAAATAAAAGTATAAAACAAAGATTAATTGGGCTGCTAAGATGACAAAAAATAGGGCCTATCTCTACCCAAAATAACTGTCATTTTATCTTCAATATCTGCATGTGAAAAACTAAATTCATGTGTGAAATAAGCATTTCAGAGAATAGATCTATTTTTCCCTGTCACTGCTTTCTATCAGCTTTACTTCTTGTCACAGCATAACAGACTGGGAATACCTTAGCCGGCAGTTTTCCCTGAGTCTTGAACCAATAAAGGTCAAAATCCCAGCATGAAGTTATAAGAATACAAGAGACAATCTCACTTATTTTGCTTTTAAATCTATTAGTGCCACTTGCCGTTTTTGTTGTCACATGCTTTAGTCAGCAAAGCAGATTTCTTTCACTGAATGATTGCAAAATATTGCTGAAAAACAAAATTAAAGCCTTATATTCTAGAAAGTGGATTCAATCATTTGCAGAGTAGTTTTTAAATCCCATCTCCAGTGGTTTGGAAGTGGCGATGGGATATAATGCTTGTGAGGGATGTATTCATTTTAAGGAAAGTTCTATTCACTCTGTGATCTACCTGATACCCAAGACATGAAGAGAAATAAAAACCTGAAAGATAATCTCATCCTTTTCATCTCTTTTAGAAAAACATGTTTTGATCAACAGGCATTTTAACAGTAAATAGAAGTGAGGGGAAAGGGTTAAGGATTTTTTTTCTCACTTTCTTTCTGTCAGCCAACTGCTTCCATTTTCTCAAAATAACTTAGGTGACACCAGGAAACCCATAGTTGTGGCCTGGAAACAAGAAGATCAGCCACATAGCAGAGTGTTGCTAACACAGTTAAACACACAAATGCTATTGGAACTTATGTTTGCCAATAAAAATGATGAATGGGACACTTTTTGAAAACAATGAAGAAACTGGCTATTACATCACAGTAGATCAGCGTGCATCTATTGAGTGTATGTAACACCTCCTAAAAGTAAGAGCTATTAATGCTAGAATGCCACTTCATCTTGTAATTTACAATATGTCTATCAACTTGTACTTGTTGAATTTGCCACAATACTATAATAGGTATCAGAACTGGAAGCATTATGTAATTGCATTATAAAGGTGGGACCATGCTATTTTTATTGTACCCCTATACTTTAGATGTTTTGTGTTTCCTGACTTAGCACCCCCCCCCCTCGCTTCCTTATAATGCTGATCATTTCACTCTATCTTGTCTTCCACTGATACACCTGCTGTATCTGTTATGTGTAACCACTACTATAGAATTTTATGTTGCCTCCTGTAACGGAACTGGACCCAGACCGCACTTGGGTATTTCCGTTAGACTCCAGCTTCTGTGTCCAAACACAAATCCACGGACTCCACCGCTGATCATGCAGGAAAATAGACAGCACCAGACTCTTCTTAAGACAGGAAATCAACTGCTTTATTTTCACACAAACACAAGATATATACACAGGGCGGGGAAATACAACCAGGAACAGGAAACACATCCACAGGCCCTCCCAGCAGGGGGAAGGGCTGCAGGAAACACCCCCCACCAAACCAAGACACAGAACAATGGGATGCAGCACATGGCAGTGAACAATGAACAATGGACCAACCACATGGCAGTGAACAATGGACCAACCACATGGCAGTGAACAATGGACAACCCCACGCCCATATTATAACATTTCACCCTGTACCCCCTAACAGGCACAGGGTGCCTTAGACATAAGAGGGATTTGGGAAGATGATATAGGGGTCCCCCACCCCCAAAAGTCACTCCCGTCACACTTCCAAAAAGGAATTTTTCTTTGCAGTAATTTCTCTTATAACCTATATTGAAAAATTGAATAAAAAGGTAAAAAAGACATTTAGGTTATAGTGGGGCTTCAAGACAATTGATCATGCATTTATTTATGTATTCTTTTTTAGGTATATTCATATAACTATTAGCTGAATATTATTACTCCTCTACCCTCAATAAATCAATATAATGAAAGTGTTTTTTCAAATAAAGCTACTGATCCTAATACTACCATGTTGTATTTTTTTAGACACATATAATACTTCTTCTAGTGTCTCGAGGCGATTATGAATGAAAGAGTCATTGAAATAAAAAATGAAGTGTGATTTTATTCTATCACACAATGGTGTCAAATAAACAATGTAAAGCGTATTATGAACAGTTCCATGTAGATAAAACTACTGTAAAAATAACAAGCAAAAGTTTACAGATAAGTCACCATTATTTGTCATGGCTGTTCTGTCCTTCATGTGAACTTGTCTTGTACAACACAGAGTCCAAGAAAGAAGACGGAAGTGACGTTAATGATGATCTCTTGTCTTGCAGCACCTGTTCCAGCATCTCAGAAAGTTCTTATGAACAGCCATGTGTGTGTGTGTTATGTATGAAAGAGTGTCGTGTTAGCGTGTAAGTGTGAGCGAGTTCCTCCTTGTCCGTTATCTGATGGTCTTTTATGAGGCAAATGTACGTCATAGTTAGTGATCTTAATACCTTCTATGGAAATTATCACTGCTTAGCAAAGCCATTTCATAAAAGGAGCTGATGCTATACATATGTTTGATGGACAGGAACATATGTATGCTGATGTACTAATGATGTAACCCTCAGCTATATATTTAAAGAATAATATAGCTTAAGAACATATCAATGTATAATCACTAAACTATATATGTATCAATGTTAGAAACGTATACTAAATACTCACAGATACTATTAAAATACATAATGTAATAGTAAGTCACTTCTAATAACCTTGACATAACTACCAGAGATGTCTATGCCTAAATCGAGTATACTCAGCCTTCAACTGGTTTAACTTACTCCTGTCTTATTTTACTGTCTCAGCTTGACTTATTCATATCTTTTTCAGTCTCAGTTTAATTGAAGAATAGTAATACTACCATTTGTCAAAAGACCATTTACACATTAATATTATTTATGACTAATCATAAAAACCAAATATTTTGCAAGCTTGCCATCAATATAAGTGCCGAATCATAATTTAGATTTATTACATACCAGAAAACTTAACATACATTTTGTAAACGTGATAATAGTGAACATAATTCAAAATAACAAAAAATAATATGTTCCAAGTAAAAAAAAAATCATGCAAACATTTTTACATAAAGTCCAGTGTTTAAAGGAAAATTTGCCAGTGTAAAAGTTCATAAAAATACTCCAGATCTTCATCACTGTACACCTTTTCCACTTTCCTGTAATCAATTAACCACTTGCCTACAGGGCACTTTTACCCCCTTCCTGCCCAGGCCAATTTTCCGCTTTCAGCGCTGTCGCACTTTGAATGACAATTGCGTGGTCATGCAACATTGTACTCATATAAAATTTTTATAATTTTTTTTGCGACAGAGAGCTTTCTTTTGGTGGTATTTAATCACGTCTGGGTTTTTTTATTTTTTGCTAAACAAACCAAAAACAACTGAAAATTTTGAAAAATAAAGTTTTTTCTTAGTTTCTGTTATAAAATTTTGTAAATAAGTGATTTTTCTTCTTCACTGATGTGAGCTAATGAGAGGCTGCAGTGATGGGCACCGATAGGTGGCACTGATGGGCACTGGTAGGTGGCACTGATGGGCATTGACAGGCATCACTGATGGGCACTGACTGGCATTGATAGGTGGCACTGACTGGCACTGTTGGGCGGCACTGATATGTGGCACTGACTGGCACTGATAGGTGGCACTGACTGGCACTGATAGGCGGTACTGACTGGCACTGATAGGTGGCACTGATTGGCAGCACTGATAGGTGACACTGACTAGCATTGATAGGTGGCACTGACTGGCAAGAATGCAGCCAGAGAGAAGAAGAAATTATTGCTTTTACAGCCTTTATGGGTGTAAAAGCAATCGGTGTAAAAAAAGAAACAAAATCTTCATCATCCCCCCCACAAGTAGTACAGTGTCACTATGGCGATACTGTACTACTAAGGTGACAGTATGTTAAAAAAAAAACCCAAAAAACACATAAATAATATTATAAAAAAATTTAATAAAAATGTAAAAACAAAATTTAGAAAAATTATAACTTTTTGGTTATAAACTAATTTTGTTTTTTTTTTTACTAAAAAGATAGCTGAATACATTTTGGCCAAGATTTATGAAGAAAGATTATGTATTTGCTAAATGTTATAAGAAAAACGCTTTGTTTTCAAAATTCTTGTACTTTTTCATTTTTATAGCAAAAACATAAAAATCCCATTGGTAAATAAATACCACCAAAATAAATTTTTATCTGTCTAAAAAAAAATACAATAAAATTCATAAGGGTACAGTGTTGCATGACCGCGCAATTGTCATTCAAAGTGTGATAGCACTGAAAGCTGAAAATTGGCCTGGACAAGAAGGGGGTGAAAGTGTCCGGACTTGAAGTGGTTAAAGTAGAATAGGCCTTTATAGTGGGGTTGATTAACTAAAACTGGAGAGTTCAAAATCTGGTACAGCTTCCAGACTTTATTGCCAAAGCGTAGCCTCCCTAGCTGTCTGATTATGTCAGTATTTCTGTGCTCAAAGCGGTAAATTTGGAAATATGTATTTTTTTTATTGTAGGCCTGTAATTTTTAGGATTAACTCACTGAAATCTGTCCGAACAAGAGTCTAGTAAACATCCCGGGTATGTTAAAATGTGCAACACGAAATCATAAATGATAATTTAATAAATAATCATAAAAAATAATGATATAATAATAATAAATTTAATTCAATAATGTAATCAAACTAAAAACACTGAAATTTTAAATGTAGCGCCAAGTTCGCACATCACTGAGCAAAGTCGCAAAATTGTTTTCAGTGTCTGATGACGAATTTCCCCACGAATCATTATCACTCAATTCTGCAAGTGGTTCTGATTTACTATCACTGTTCTCTAGTCGGTCTAAAACCGATTTTGACCTAAAGAGACGCTTTCTGGACGCCATGGACCTTTCTCAGTTTCCAGGCAGAAAGAACGGCAAAAATGCAGGGCATAGGACAAAGCACTAGGGACAAAATGTATGTGAAATGCTTTGATACAGTAATGTTTTACTATGTGATTTTAGTGTATTTAGTGAATGTCACTTTTTCACATTTTTAAATTTCCCACCATTCCGTCCCCCGTACATCCTGACGTCGCAGGGAACGGAACCCAGAAGATGGATGCCGGCATCGGCCGGAGGACATTGCCGGGGACACTGCAGGGGGGACATCGCAGGAGCGCAGGACAAGGTAAGTGATCGAGGGATTGCGGAGCAACACCGCATGGTAAGCCCGAGTGTTGCTCGGGGTTTCCGCTTGTGGTGCTGAAACTTTACCCCGAGCTACACTCAGGAATACCGCCAGGGAGGTTAATTGAACAAGCTGAAGTTAGAAGCTGATTGGTTGCCATGCACACCTGCACTCTCCAGTTTTAGTAAATCAACCCCAGTATGTCCACCAGAAATGTGAAGATTAGTATTCTGACACTTAAAGTGGTTATAAAGCTTAAATATTTTTTACCTAATGCATTCCTTACGTCTTTGGATTAATTGCCGTGCCAGAACCAGAAAAGATCAGGCCAATGTGTCAAAAACTCCATCTTTTAAAAGGATTCAAAACAAACACACAATATAAATTACTATACATGTCAATTGTGGTGTAGTATAAATCTAAAAACAATGTTTCAACAGAAAAAAATGTTAACACCATAAATTGTTTAGAAAGGAGCAGTACATGAATAAAACAAAATAACCCATGCTTTTGTATTTGGATATGATTAAGGAAAAGACTGTAATGGGACTTCAACACAGAAAATGTGATTACTTTTATTTGCTAGTGCCACCAGTCAGTCCTGTTAAATGACAATGCAAAGTAAGTTTCAGGTGGATTGATATACGGAGGTTATCATTCCTTCTGAGAATTTCATCTGTCATCATTATCTCCATGGTGATTCTGAAAGGGGCTGACAGAATGATTAGTTTCATTTCAAATTCTCAATATTTTTGTTTGACTGGCATCTAAAGAAAGAACATTTACAGGTAAAGAAAATACATTAAAGCACTTATTTCAAATACAAAATTATTGGCAATTACATTTAGAAATGGCTTAGGTTGGACAAATGCTGAATATTTATTATTTCCTCAGTTTTAAACTTAACTTTGTTTTTCAAATGTCATAATCTATACTTTTTTAACCAGTCTCATAACCAGCCTTGGTGGATATTTATTCCTCATAGTGCATAAGATATTATTATCAAAGGGTGCATACAGCCAAAACTTTTATTTATAGATTTGGATAGAGTAGCACCTCTCGCAGGTTTTTATTGCCGTATGTCACTAGGTTCCGGCGATTCATCCTCTCTGTTTGTCCTACTGAACCCTATCACAGAGACAGAAAGTGGTGATCCAAAATTTTAGAGTTGTCACTAGGAAAAGATATGAGGGAAAATCTTTCACTGGCAACATCTCTTCCGATAACAACTTTCTAAGAAGAGATTTTCCTTCAACTTGTAGAGATTTCCTTTCATTTTTGTTACACCCCTAGGCAGGGCTTTTTTTCAGCTGGAACTTGGTGGCACTCAGCTCCACCACCTCTGGCTCAGGCTCTCTGTACCAAGCTCATCACTATCACTTGTAAACACAGAAGTCCTGTTTCTGCATTTACAAATGACAGCTTTTCTCTCAACGGCTTCCACAGATCTGATCTCCTGA